AGGACAGACACCAATTTTGTTCTTTATCTCAGGAGTCCCCACACAAGCAGTCCTGCACCACATAGTGCTGTCATCATGTGGGTGTGGAGATGCTGAAGCAGGTTTCATCTATTCACCAGCAACAGCAGTGGCAGTGGTCACTGGAGCTGCTGGGTGCTGACATGGTCATGACTACTACAGCCCCTTGTTCCCTGGTAAGTCGTGGGGATTTGTGAGGCAATGGGCACAGACACAGCATGTGCACTTCAGGTCACCACAGAAAAAACTTGGTTATCTAAAAGAGATTTAGCAATGTACAGTGTGTAAGTAAATCACAGATGTGCATACAAAGGCTACTAGCTCAGACATGACCTGCAAGGACTCCACAGCACTCCAGCACATCTTTTATTTCCTTTATTGTTTAGTTCACTAAGTTGTACTGTGATTCACTTCAAGAACAATGGAAATAGGGCTACCTGCATGAGCTCTCTCTTATTTTTATGTTTCCTGGAAATGTCTAGAAAGCAATGAAATTGATGCTTTAATATGCATGGAAATTTATGAAAACAACAGGATTTCATTTCCTAACATAATTGCTGAATTGATTTGCGTATGCAGTGAACTGCTCTGATTTTCTTAGTGGCAATAATAAAGCAGTGTCTGCAGTAATTTAGCAGGTGTTCACAGCTATTCTGAGTGTATGTAAAAGGTTACCACTTTGATTTAAAAGGTTCATTCAAACTCTTCTTTCACTTTGCAGAAGTCTAATGGAAGATGAAAGGTTCAAGGTAATGAGAACAAAGCACATTTGAATCCAGGATATAATTTTTTTCCCAGAAAGTCTGAGGCTTTTTTTCATATCTTCAGGACATTCTGATAAGAGTTGCTTTTTTCTTGCCTATTTTTTTCCTAATATCTTACTCCGCCTATCTTTCAAATTAGGTTTACATTTATGGCTCTAATATTTCTCAAGTGTATTCTAGTTAAGTCTTCTTTTTGTTCAAGAGAGACAAAATACATTAACTTCAGCATGAAACAATTGTTATTTCCCATTCTTCCATTCCCCTTTTAAATAATTCTAAATGAAGAGCTATGTCAGACTGATAAATATAGGTGAATGAAGCTATTAAGCTCCACATTTCTTGCAAGATTCAGACATACTTTTCTTGCATACTTTATAACAGGAAGCTGAGGGCACCCTTTATGATAATACAGACGATCACACTGAAGGGGAATGAGAGGAGAAGTTAGTTACTGACACCGCTCCACAGTCTGGTCTGGTGTTTCTCTCTAGTGAACAGCTGAAATCCGTGTGGTGAGAGCTGTGTGAAATGCTTCTGGCAAGCCTCACCTTGCAGTTAAAGATTTTGTGACTTTTTAAAATCTTAGCCTGTGATTTTCAAAGCAGAGAGGACTCCTCACACAGGTGATAGGCAGGAAATCTTTCAGCAGCCTTCTCCCTCATCACAGCAGAAACATAAGCTATTTTATCCCTATTTCTATTCCTGCAGGATAGAAAGTAGGAAATACTGTCAAATGTATGATACGAGTTAGAAACTATAAAAGGTGAAAAGCAATTGCTAAGAAATCCTTGGAGGTATGGGTTTCTTTAGAAAAGGAAAGATTTTGGTTAAGAACCAGACAGTTCTTATGATTCTTCAAACTGGTTTCTGGACCTCCTAAAAGCTTATTTTATAACATTGAAAGAGACTCTCAGGCCCAGACCATATTTATCTTCCTAATTTCTTATTCCTTATGAGCACCTGAATTTCAAAGGAGTCTTTGGAAGGGGCATTTACTCTTTGTGCTTAATTTTTCACATATACCAAATTGGGAGTAGCTAATCCTGCCAGCTTCCACAGGAATGTTGTGCAGTTAATGGCTTGCATTTCCATGAAGTGCTTTAATATGACAAGGAGAATTATTACAGGTAGGCAGAGAAAAAACACTGGAGGCACTTCAGTCCATCAGCTTCTAAATATGTCCTAGAGGTCTTATTGCTGTGTACATTAAAGCTTGAGCAGTAAAATCTCCTTTTGTTTGCTGAGCACAGTATACATGGCAGAGAGGTGAGTTCATCAAGTTCACTCTTCAAACACACAATTGGTTCTACTGAGTCTCTAATAATTTGCCTTATGGAACCGGCTAGGGGCTTCTCATTTTAAGAGTTAAATTGATTTAGTCAAGTTAAAGGGAATCATGTATTTACTTCTGTTCCAAACCCATTTATTACTCCTCCATTTTCTTTCTATCAAAGCAGTGCACTGCAGCCCTATTTCATCATTTTACAGGGAATCATCTTGTTCTGCCTTCTGTCTTCTGCCAGCCTTTCAGGAATAAATAATGGAGAAAAGGGCATACCATGGGGTCACCATGGCAAGAACCACACAGAGAAACTGTTTGTGGTTTGAAAAGGGCACAGATGTGATATTCCTGGAACAGCACACATGGCAAAACAGCAACATGGGGCAAGAGATGGAAATTCAGGACTGCAATAAGATGCCTAAATCCTTCATATGGCCAGAGATCTTGGGTAAAACTCAGTTGTTGCTTAAATAATGGACTTTGAAGAAACAATCTATTTCTGCTGATGGGTGAAATGATTCCTATCAACAGTAGTTGGATCTGGGTATATGGGTTTCTTTCACAACACTCTAGAGTCCCAGATACCTTCCTTTGGAGTTACAAGCGAGACCACAGAACTTGTGCATATTCAACTGTTAGAGGCATTATTGCTGATGGAAAATGTAGTGAAATGTTTGTTTCACAATTTGGCTAGATTAACTGTGGGAAAATAGTGCATACCTGAAAAGACTTTGTAAAGTTGCATGAATACATTTTTGCATGGACCTTCAGTTCTCAAAATTAACTTGCAATTCTTTTGGTTCACATGGGACTTACAGTTTTACAGTTCCCCACATAACATCACATCCCGTCACTGTTGGCCTCTCTGAAGACTGCAAACACTGCTTCAACAATGAAGAATATAATTGCAGGAAGAAAAGAGATTTCTGAAACTAGTGGGGTGGCTTACTGTCTTTTCCCCAGGCTTCTTTGCTTTGAAAATATCTTTTAACATAATACCACAAGACCAGATACTGCCATGAAACTGTCCTGTCAGTTTTAGCTTTTAGCAAAGTGAACAGGTTGCAGAGTCACAGACGGATTTTCTTTCTGTCTTTATCTGAGCATCAGATTTGGTCTGTGTTTCTGAGCTTCAGGCCTGGCACACAATTATGCTGAAACTTCTAAGGTGATGTAGTTTTATAGGCACTTTTAGACTAACACTTTCCCTTCACTTTATTAAATCCTGTGATGCTACTAAGTCAGTGATAATCTTTATTCCCAAAAATAATATCTTTGCAATAGAAATTCACTTGAACATTTTGAATCACCTCTACATTCAGTGGAACCTGGTCCCACTGATGTTCAAATTATGTAAATAGCTTTCATGTGAGGTGTTTCATTGGTTTGTAAGCCATTTTTGCACCATAAACTTTTGTGTCATCAGGCAGCTTTCTGAAGCATTTCTTATTTTGCCAGAAATACCCGTTTTTGTCTGTAACAAAACAGATCTATTGTAGAAAGGATGTATAGCTACACTGAAATATAGGACACAGAGCAAATGGTCTTTCTTCTGATATGCCTCTTTATATAACCAGCGTTGTCATGACAACTGCAGAGCAGAGTTGTGTTTTCAGTAGCAGACACATGATGAAGGGCCTTTATTGTACTGATGAACATGTCTTCAATTCTCAGCCTCTCAGCAACAGAAAACACAAATGACCATCCCACACAACTTGTTCCTACTCACAGAACTTTCGGTGTAAATGGCACATTACTTCTAAACAGGGGAAACTTTTGATTCTGCCAGCACTTTGCAGTTCAGAGACAAAGGAGCTTTGCAGACCACATGTGGGTGCAGGAACACCAGTTGAGAGGGGAGCAGAGGGGCTGCCCACAACCTTCTCCCTCATGATATTGATGGGATGAAGGAACCAACCATTCCTTTAGGTTCTTGCTAAGTCTACTCCAATTTTTAGGTGATACCTTGCAGTGAGAACATGAATAAAACAACAGGTATAGTAAGTTACAGAAATAAAAGCCTGGAAGTTTGGGTGCTTTCTTCATCTCAATGAATGAACTCATTCTTGGAGCCCACAAACCTTATGCCTCAGTTGTGTCACTTTAAGGCTGCGGGCAATATACCTTCCTCACTGTCACAGCTGCTTTAACCAGTGTTTTATTGATGGCTGTGAGATGATCCCCCCATGAAAAGAAGTACAGAGGGGAATCAGCATTAGCCAGTGACAGAGAAGGAAACTAAGAGTGAGCTTATGCTGCATTTAACTGAGCTACTGTGATGTCCTGCTTTAGTGGACAGTAGAGTGCTTTGACAAAAGGGCTGAGTGAAATGGTGTGTTTGTAAGCTGAGTTAGTTTCAATTCAGATTTATGGTGGACTCATATTACTCTGGCTGATTCTCACAAATTCCCTTGGACACAGATTCATAAAGTATCTTGGGTTGGAGGAGACCTTAAAGATCATCTCATTCCAACCCTCCTGACACCCCAGTCAGTGTCAGGATAAGCAGAATATACACTGGATACAATTTAAAAGGCTAGGCAACACCTGGGTCAGAGGTAAAATGGGAAGTAGCTGAATATCACTACAAACAATCAAGAAAATAAATACCTCAAAACAGGACCAGTAATCTTTGGGAACTTTGTCTAATCTACCACTGATTATGTAAAAACCACAGAAGCATGAAAGCATGGAAAATTAAGCTGAGTAACTAATTTTTTCTTTTATTTTGTAATTATCCAGTAGTGTAGTACAACATCCAGCTCTGTCCTCACTGCCAAGAAACTGAACTTGAAATAGAGGAATAGCCTTCTGCAATATTCACTGTTGAGGCAAGGAAACTTAAACATCCAGAGTGCATTAAGGCCATCTCTTATTACAGGGTTTCTTGACACTGGGTTTCCATCAAAAAAAAAAGCTCTGTTATGCTGTGGTGCATGGCCTGTTGTAATAGAATGCAGTGCTCTCAATTCCTATTTTATACAGGCAAAAACACAAGCTCAGAAATTAATACCAGTCAATTATCCCACAAAGACATTTTCTGTTCCCCTGTTTCTGGCTGACATGTACAATATTGCATTGTAATAAAAACACTAATGCTTACTATTCTAGAATCTTTTTGAGTAGCAGTCTCAGAACTTTTAAAACACCTAGCCACTGCTGATCCTCACCTGTCACTGCCTGTGACTTCACTGTAGTTGTGTTAGTTTGGACATTTTGCTGTTTCATATTTCCTTGCTGTTGGTTTTCAGGCAGTAACTGGGACCTTGGGACTGCTGCAACATATTCCATTTGAGAGTTGACCCACTCAGCTTTTGATCTTAGCAAGCACAGGTACCTGCATGTTAGTTTCCTTTAACAATCAACAGAGAGAAAATCTTGCTCTCCACAGACTGTGAAGGGAGCTAAGCTGTGTGTACCTCTGGCCAAGTAGGTATTGTATCTTGTAGCGAAATGAGTTCTGCTTTTTATGAATGCTTCCTATGAACATTTCTGGCTGGAAAGCATTAGCTTAAATAATTACATGAAGCACAGAGCTGGAGTAAGTGTGCTAGGAACCAGAACATTTCTGGGCTTATCTAGCTATGGGGCCCAAGCATGGAGAAGCTTTCCTGAAAACTCATAAGGATGAAACCTGAAGCATCAAACTCAGGAGCAGAGACACCTCTGTTCTAAGCAGAGTTTTAGTTTCCCCCAGTTTACACAGATTTAATGAATCCTGAACTTTGTGTGAACCCTGAAGGCACAAATGCCAATCACAGCTGAAAGAATCTCATGGCGTCTTAGAATATTATATCTGGCATGATGGAAAAGCTTTGAGATCATTTATATTGTCATGTTGACTTATTTACCTGTCATGAACACTGAAAGAAAATATTTATAAGTTTAGATATTTTAAAAAAATCTCCAGTATCCCTCTTAGAAATGTACACAAATGAAGATGACTGGTAATACTACAAAGAAATAAAACATTTGCCCACCTTAGGAAAGTAGCAACAAACTTTTCAAGGTTTGAAAAGCTCCAGATTAGGGATACACATGTCAGATGTGTGGTCTTTACAAAAAAATGAATTAACTTTTTCCCACCTTTCTGACTGGCCTGGGAAGACCTCTAACAGGACATAAAATGCCAAACACTGTCTGAGGAGCCACCTGATATTTTTTCATTCAGGCAGCAATTTCTTAAGAAGTCCTTTGCCTTTTGTGCATTACTTTGAGTTGTTTCCCTTTGTTGATCAACCACCGCCACCCTTGGTACTTTACTAATACCCTGCTGGGGAAACCATATATCAGACAGATTCCAAATGTGGATGGATCCAGGTGGCTACAGACAGACAAAACAGAAGCTTATGGCCACCCTGTGGTGTTGAAATGTAATTAAAAGGGTTCCTTTCCTGCTATCTGTTTTCAGAGTTGCTGTTGGGAGAACGCAGGAGGGGGGACCATGCTGTGCCAGGATGTTGTGATCACTCCTTTGGCTCCACGCTGCTGGAGATGACAGAAGGCAGCAAATCACAAGTCAGCAGGGCACTGAAAAGCTCCTGTGACTGCTTTCTTTTTGTGTTATGTTGTAGTAAGGGAAAATTTGGACCCTTTGACCCACCCTGACACCATGGGAAGGAAATAAAAAGGGAATCACTCATTCTGGAAATTGTTCTGGTTTGCTTTTACCCCCCACAAATTAAAAAATGCTCACACCCTGCTGCCCAGGGCCTGCCTGGCACCCAGCAGAACCTTCCACCCCCACCTCACAGGGGTTTTTTTTCCACTTGCAACACTGATTTTCAGAAAAAAGTTTCCAAGGACAGGTTGGAGCCCGCTTCCCACCCCAGCCAGGCAGCAGCAGCAAGTCCAGCTGCTGTGGAAGGGGCCGCAGCACTGAGTACCACTGTCCTCGGCCTTCCTCTCCTCACAGGGCCTGAAACACAAACTACAACTTTTAGAGGGGTCCTGTCTGAAGAAAATGGTGCCATGAACAGTCAAGGAGAGGGGCAAAGGAGAAACTGTAATTGACTTTGTGTTTAACGTGGCCTAATTACAGTGGTTAGATGTTGCTGGATGCTGGTGAATGTTGTGAAGGTTAGCGGGGACATGGGGCCTGGGTTCCTCGGCCTGAGGCAGGACAGCACACCTGGTGACAGGAGAAACTTGGACTGCATTTCCATTGAAGCAGAACTGTATGAAGCAGTGCTTTGTAAGGGTCACTGTCACAGCTGTGTACCATATCTGCATGGCTGTATCATTCATTGCTACATTTATACAGTCAGACTGTGCCCCTTTCCATCGCTGGGAGTGTTGAAGGCCAGGCTGGATGGAACTCTGAGCAGCCTGGTCTAGCAGAAGGTGTCCCAGCACTGGGAACAGCATTGGAACAGAATGATTTTAAGGTCCCTTCCAACACAAACCATTCTATGATTCTGTGATTCTATGACTCTGTGTTTCTATGATTCTCTGATTCTATGGCTCTATGACTGTATACGAGGAACCAGAATTCATTTGTGCTTTTCTCCCCTTCTAGTATAAAAGCTATATTTTATATAGCTTTTATGTTTTCCATTTATATAGAGTATTTTGTTTGAACTAGACATATAAGATAGCTTGCTGTCAGTGTAATCTATGCAGGAACTCTGTTGAGCCTGAGGTACAAAAAGGATCATGTCAAATGCCAAGGCTCCTCTTTCTCTTCATTTCTGAGGTATGGAGGGCTCTGCCTACCACATTTACATGTCATTGACTACAAATTGTTGGTTCCTGCCTACCACATTTACATGTCATTGACTACAAATTGTTGGTTCGTTTGTGTAGCCTGTTGGCTGTTCATTGTACGCAAGGCAGAGAGATATAGAAGTTTCTTGCAAAGAACTGGCTATAATTAGAGATTTTCCTTAGTTTATGTAGCTCTTGGATGACAAATACAAAAGCTATGGGCATGGGACTTCATATGCAGTTATCTTCTCTTCCTCAATTTTATTAAGAACCCCATTGGCACAGAAAACCACTGATGGAAGCATAACTTGGAACAAGACTGGAATTTGTTGTGGGATTTTATGGAAATCTATGGGGATACTCTAAGGAGTATTTCAAAAAGGACTCGATTCTACCATCTTTTCTCTGAATTGGCTAGGGCTTCTTTTAAACTTATGAACAAGAACTCTAAAATGCTCTGACACTTGCTGATAAATGACACTGCTGCTTCTCATCAGATGAGCCTTAGGAGGTCAGTTACACATTGGGAGCTCAGTTGAGGAGTGTTTTCTGCCTTAATGGAAAACAGCTGCAGAGGCAAACCTGCCAAAGCTGAGTAGGATATCAGCAAATTTGCACTATATAGGGTAATTACTCACTTGTGGAGGAAGGCAACAAATAGAAAACCCCTTCCTAAATGCCTCCAGGGCCTCAAAGAAAATTATGTAAACTCAAAAGCTGATGACTGGAGATTCCAATACAAACCTCCTCTAGCAACAGCCCAGTAGGGAAAAGACAAAATGGTTTCTCAGGTGTGAGGCTATGGGATATGTGAGAGTATTTATCTATAGCATGGAAATACATGCCAGGTGTGAACTCTCCCAAGGAGCCTCACACTGATTATGGCAGCTCTGTTTCTGAAGCATTAACCTCAAGCAGGGAAACAGCAGGAAATACACGGTTGTTATGTGATCAAAACTTAATCAGCTATGGCTATCACTTGGTGCTCATCTGCCTGTGTCTGTGAATGTGTTTGTGCCAGCTGCAGCAGTCCTGGAGGAGCCCAGTAGTGGGAGTCACTCCAGTGGGTAGGCCAGTGCTTCTGTCCAAAGTGAAAGATGTGGAGAGCTGATGACAGTGGGGAAAACCAGCTGGAGCAGCAAACTACACCTGTGAGCAATTCAGAGACACCATGTGAGGCAACAGCAGGGTGAAAGAAAACTTGTTGGAGCAAGGCCAGAGCAAAGTCACTAATCTGATCACAGACCTGGAACACCTTTCCTATGAAGACAGGCTGAGAGAGTTGGGGCTGCTCAGCCTAGATAAGAGATGGCTTTGTGGATCTCTTATGGCACTTTTCAGTACCTAAACAGACTCACAAGGAGCTTGGAGAGGGACTTTTCACAAGGGTCTGTAGTGCTAGGACAGGGGGGATTGGCTGTAAACTAAAGGAGGATAGTTTAAATTAGGCAGAAGAATTCTGTACTATGAAGGTGGTGAGGCAGGAACAGGTTGCCTGCAGAGATTGTGGAGTCCTCCCCATGGAGCTCTATAGAACAGATTGAATGGGGCTCGGAGTAACCTGGTCTAGTGGGAGGTTCTCTGCCCATGGCTGAGATGTTGAGACTAGATGATCTTTAATGTCCTTTCCAACCCAAACCATTCTATGATTCAACAAATCTATGAAAAGTCTCTTGCCTTCATTTATTAAAAAAATTTTTGCAATTCTCAGCGTGAAGCAGATGGTCTTACTCACTAGCTATCCCTTGGCTAAAGATACATATCAGAACTTTCTTCACTTAAAAGTAATGTTATGACTTGATGAAGATGGTCATGCCATGTGTAATATGATTATGTACTCCTGTCCTGAGACTGGCAGCTCTCCCAGTGGTGCCTTGCCCACTGTGAGCAGCTACACAGGTGAGCTTGGGGGAAGCTGAGCCTCTCAATACACCCTGCAGCAGATATAGAACTCCCTTTGTTCTCAGCATTATATCTCAGGGCTGTTCCACAAGCAAAAAAAAACCCTAAATTTAAAGGAATTTTCTTTATTCTTCTTTAAGCATGGAGTGTGACTCGAGAAACAGCCAATAATAAACTTTCTCACTATCTGCCAAGAGAAATGTCAGCGGGAGCAAATTTTCTTCACTGTGAAGATTGTAAGTGTCATCCACCCAAACTTATCACACCAGCAGCAATACCCTAAACACATTTAGAATTTCTTCTAGTGCTGTAAGGATCACAGTGGACCTACAACAAAAGTCAATTGTACTTAATACCTGCCACTATGACATGTAAGATAGCACCCTGGAAAATCGCTGCTACTGCTAAACACCAGCACAACCCCTGACTGGGAACTAGTGACTTGTAATTTTAAGGGCTAAAACAAAAACATTATTCTGTAGTAATTTCTCAGCATAAAACATGAAGTCGAGTCAGGACAATTATGGCCTCAGGATACACTTTTAAAAAGTATCAGAAACATAAAACATTTTTTTCCAGTGAAAATAATAACATTTTGTAAGTTTGTCTGTAACACCTGGAGTTTTAAATAAGAAAATTCAGATACATCAGTACTTGCAATCTCCTATTCCATTTGCCTCATACCTCTTACAAATTGTTAATCGCTTCCCTTGTTTGGGTAGCAGAATCACATCACCTGTGTAATTTATATTGCCCTATATGTTTCTCAGTGCAAATGTTCAGAAAGATACTGCCTGGAAGCCTGCTTATTTTCATACATTATCTAGCTGTTTCAAATTCAAAAGATGTCATCTGAATAAGAACTCAGTTGCCTGCTGAAAAACTGTCTGTGGACCTATTGCCATGGAATTTGGTCCCATTTAATATGAAATAGAAGCCTTCTCTGCAACTGGCAGGCATACCTAGGAGGGCATGATTTTTTTACAATGGTTATATAAAGGAGTTTCTGAAAACAGATTGGATTCAGTTAATTAAAGTTCTTAAACTATTTTTGAGCAATGGGATAAATATTTAATATTGCTGGATGGATGGGTCACCTCCTCTTGACAAATGTGCTTTGTTTTCCCACCACTATTATCTTTTAGTATTCAGTTGCAGACATTCAGGTCAGCTATACTGATGCCCCACAGGAAGAAAAATCAACAATTTATTCAAGTATATTCCAAGTGCAATTTTATTTTATTGCTTACATACGCCAGTCCTGGAATAAGGGATGTTCAAGAGATGCTTCCTGAACTCAGCTCTGGCTCAAAAATGACCACAGGATAGAGACCAAACTCTCTGTATCCTCATTATTCTAGAACAGCCACAATCTATATATAGGAAATTGCTTTTTAAAATATCCAGAACCTAAGGTACTAACATTGTCTAGCGTATCTTTCTATTTCTCCCTAGACTAGGAAATTTGTGAAACTATGGTTGCCAATACTATCTGGCATTACAGGCAATAATCAAGTGCTTAAAGCTGCCTCTGGTCTGTTGTTGTTTTCAGAGACACCAAACAAGTTTGTGGGACCGACGTTTGTAGAAAGAAATTTCTGTTCTCTCTTTTAGAAACTGATTCTGAGAGGATTTAGCTTTGCAGAGGTGACAAACTTCCCTTGTTTCTTCCTCTACAGTTTGATGCTGCTAATGGAGGTTTTTCAAAAAAGGCAATGTGCTTATTTATGTAAAGGCTAGGTGACAGGTACCAGAAGTACAACTTTCTTCTCCAAAATGAGAGATGGCTATTTGTTCTGTGTGCTCTGGGTGTCATGAAGATGTGATGCAGCAGATGCTGAGTGTGCAGGAGCACTTTCAGGCACCCCACTCTGCAGATTGACTGTAATCTCCTACTTGAAGCTACTTCATATGTCCTCTGACAACCTGACAAGAGAAGTGAATGAGAAAATCATTTGGAATCTTGGGTACAGAGCTGAACTCTTTAATTGTCTGCATATTCTCTCTGTGCTTTGTGCTTTCAAGTAGTACCTT